CCAGGCCCCCCCCTGCCCCCCCCACCCTCCCGGTTTAGGCAGGAAGACAACTGGGGTCAAGTGACCCCAGCAAGGTGACTGTCCAGTCTCCTCTTGAAAACTTTGAAAAAGATGTATCCATTCAAAGATTAAAAGCTCACGTATTTAATCGAAACCCAGGAAAATTGGCCACTTTTGTTCTCTATGTGGATTCCAGTCTGGTTAGGGCAGGTACCATTTCATGTCTACTGTACCTAGTACAATGAATCTCTTCACAAGTGATTGGAAGAAGTGCTAGTTTGTTCCAATAAGCTCCACATGTGGGAGTGGGCTCTGCCATAGAAGACATGCCCAGAAAAGATGGAGGACAGCCAGTGTCTGTACAGGCCTTTGCCATCTGAATCATGTGGCATTGATGCATGCCATTCTACCTATGTCCCACAAAGAAAGAAATTAAACCCTCTCCCTTGCTCTTATAAATTCAGTCAAGTGACAGGTCATTTTGAACTGTTTCTGTGAGCTTGAAGGTTCTTACAGAGAAGATAACTTTCCTGGTAGTGGTGACTTCAGCTATTAAAGCAAATAGAATAGACTTAAGCCCCTAATATCCTGTCTCCACCTGCAAGCCAGTTTTTAGAGAATCAAGTAATGCTGTTAAATTGGGCAATTATTCTTTACACGGTGGTGTTGATTTTCCACATTAAGTATCTTCATACCCTCTTGACCATCTCAATGATTTCTTCCTCTGCTCTCTGCTGAAAGATCTATGTATAGGAAGCTATGCCCTTGGAAAATTTAACTTGTAACCAGTTTCCTGAAGAACGCTGAAGAGGAGCAGGTCTAAATAACTAGCTGACTGCATTTCATATGGACAGAACCTGAAAAATATACCATAAACTCACTTGATCTAAAGCAAAGCTTTTCTGCCAGCTAGCCCTATTGATCTTTTTTCAGGATTCATTATTGCTCAGATTCAGCCCACAAGAAGAGATCTATGCAATCCTGTGCAAATAGCGGGAGAGTCTTTTTCCTAAAAATGTACAGTCTAACAACAAGAGACAGCATGTGGATACAGACAAAGAGCACATAAGGAATAAAAGATCTTTCTTATTAGCCTGATAGGCAGTAGTCTTGTTAGAGCAGCTGCTCACTTTTTGTCAAAGTCTTCTTTTTGTAGGCATATTTATGGTGAGCGTTTTAGGAATGGATCTCAAAGACAAGCACTTGCTAGCTTTATGGGGGTATTCAAGTGCATTAGTGTTTGTTTGAAGGTTGATAACAGATTGGATGAGGGACATAAGTGGGGATAGGATGAAAGTTGTTGGTGAAAGGCTATGAAAATTAAGATTTAAGTAGTTTTATGTGGAGAATGGGGAGTCATTAAGAAGATAATATGGTCTAAGTGACAATCTGGGAAATGACTTTTAGCAGTGGTTTGATGTGGGCTAGAACTGCATTTGTCAAAGCTAGGCAAGATCTTTATCTGTGTTTAGAAAGGGAAGACTGTATCTTAAGGATGATGAAAAGGAAGAGGCAAGACTGAGATGCAGGCAGCCTGTGAAGATCTAGACAGCAGTAAGATGACTACCAGGTTATTGGCTTGCAATAGGGAAGATAATAGTGACTAAGAAAGCTATGGGGTGCAGAGCAAAGCAAAGCTTGAGGAGGATTTTTTTGGTCACGTTGAGCTTCAGAGGCAGTGGGACTCCGAGTGGAGCTGTCAGGCAGATTTTAGGTGGGAGGAGATGGGTTAGGAGTGACAAGGTTGATTTGCAAGCTGTTTGCATAGAGCTGAGGGTCTACATTTGTGTTTTTCACAGAATTCTCTTGTACTCTTTTTGCCCTGGATTTGATGTTCAGAGGGCAGCATGTATACTATGCAGGTGTGTCTTGCAGCTGGTAGTAGTGGGAACTTGAGCTCTGCTCTAAAATCACTCTGGGTGGACGGAATCGTAAATCTGGGGAGTTGTACCATTTTTGTTCAGAGGACCTGAGATGAGAGTGAGATTCATCTGCAAAGTCAGCCTCAGAAAAATGGAGTTAAAAGCAAAAACTGTTCCTTTTTTCCTATCATGTAAATCCACTCTTCTAGTGCTAGCCTTTGACCTTTTTTTTTTTTTACAGGAAATATCAAAGACATTTCTTTTTGTCTCTACATGTTTCCTGAAAGTGACAACTTGTTTGTTTGCTGAGCACTGACAGCTAATTTTAGTTGATTGCATTTTAGTTGTTTTATAACAGTGCAGATACATAAAGTTTATTATTCCAGTCAGGTTTGAAAACTGGTAATTTTTTTTGTCTTAGTCCCATCCAGCTGTTAACAGTGGTGTTAAAGAAACAGTTCAAGAAAGCTCTCAAGAGCCTATGGAGAATAATGAAGAAAAAGGGTCGAAAAGGAGAAAGACTGCAGTTCCTAAAGTAGGCAACTAAATTAAGCTGCTTGTATTCTCTCTGGGAAATCTTTTGAGCTGTAAATTTGGCAGTACAATTGTATATGCTTACTTTTAAATGAGCAGTGCCTTGCTGTAACTTTCTTTTCCAGGCATGAACATTTGTCCTTGTCTTTTAGGCTGCTGTATCTAAATTTAAAACCCAATTTCTTATAAATATGTTTATTCTGTCAAATAAAAATGTATTTGTAACAACCTACATTTGGGGTGGTGCGGCTTCTTCAAGGGTCATTTAATATTGTAAACAAATAGGTATCCCCTCCCTTCCCCTCCTTAACCTGTGCTTTTCTTTACAGGAGAATACATTTGCAACAAATGCTAGGCCTTGTCTAGACTAGAAAAAAGATTCAAGTAGATCTTTTTTAATCTATTTAAACCAGCATAGTCTCTTAGTTTAGATACACGTAAATGTATTTGATGCTTGTTTATACTGATTTAGCCTTGTGTCAGAATAACCATCAACATCCTGTACACTATTGTTTTCACACAGAGAGGGTTTAACTTTTTTTGCTGTGCAAGATTATAAGCAACGTTAAATATTATATCTTAAAAATGAGTGAATATTAAGAGGACGCAATAGATTTTGGAAACTGCATTTCTTTCTGAAATGTCTAATCTATTGATATTACAAATAATGCCTTTTAAAGGGCAGGAGGATTTTTTCCCCCGTTTTCATCACCCGGTGCATTTAACATCACTTTGCAGTTGGTTTCACTATCCCCTTTGTAGTCAAGTTTTGTGTGTTGTGTTCAACTTTTTTGACGTTACAGCATGAGAGTTCTATATATTTGGAATTGTGTGTGCTTTTTTTTATAAATGCCATTATAAAACAGCAAAATATACACAGGAATAGTTGGTGTGATAACTGAATTATCTTTTTCTCACTTCTGGAAAATTCTAGATTTGGTAATGGTATTCCATTAACTTAAAAATCACCTGTTCATTAAATTATTTAAACTAAGGCTGGGAAGCAGCCTGATACAGGTATCTAGAGGCTGTTCTGTTTCTGCCTTTTCCACATTTATAGATTGAGTAATATAAATTGTGATGTTAAGCTGCATTCTCTTCCTTTACAGTTACCTGCTAAACAGGATAATTTACCCTTGGAAGGTGAAACAGAAGAAAAAGAAACTGGTGCTACCAAGGAAGATGATGTCCCTTCAGAAAAACCTAGTAATGAAGTATGTAGTATATCTTTCTCTTTCTATTTAAAGAAACTTCATTTAAACTTAATTTTTTTTAGCATTAGGGTGCACATATTAGAAAGTGCAAGAAATGTCTAACAGAGGTTTTGCACCTGTGTCTTCAGACACGTATTCAGCTCACTGAGAGTTAAATCTCATTAACATTAAATGAGCCAGACTTTGGTGCTTAATCCATAATTATCTAGTCTGTTTTGGCAGGCAAAATGTATATTCTTCACTTACACCATTGTAGCAGGGCACTAAGGTGCCTGCTACTGAAAAGCAGCAGTATGGGCTCAGGTGCTGGTTGCTAGGGGCAACCAGGAGGAGCTAAGGGCTGACACCTGATGAGTCAGCTGACCGGAAGGGGAGGGCTGACCACTGTAAGACCCAGAGTGAGGCTGTGAGTGCTCTCTCTCTCCCTCTCCCAACCAGCAGCCAGCCCGAAGGAGTACTGTTAGACCAAGGAAAAGAGCTTGGCTCTGAAAGGGGAAAAGGGAAAGGCCTGGAGGTACAAATCAGTAGTTACAGGTGTGAAATGCTGCATGGTTTAGAGAATGCTTAGTTTAGAGAACGCTTTAGCCAGGAGGCTTAGATTTTGAGTTACAGCCGATTGGCTTGCGTTATTGCTTTGGTTGTTTGTTGTTACACCGTAGGACCAGGTGAGGCTATTAGGGGTTGGAGGAGGCCTCATAGGGGCTCCACGGTAGTGTGGGGACCCTGGTGCCAGGGAGGGCACATTATTTCAGAGGTGCATGAACCCCAGCCCCAGGGCGGGCAGCATTGCGGGAGGAGCCCCAGAGAGCCCCAGTGGGATGCAGGCTGCAAGGCGAGCTAAAGAGTGTCCGTGGGGCGCAGGCAATTGCAAGACGAGCTAAAGAGTGTCCGTGGGGCGCAGGCAATTGTAAGATGAGCCAGGGGGCGCCCGTGAGGGCGCCGAGAGGGAAATTAACCATACAATGTCCAGTACATCTGCGAGGCTTGGGGCGTGGTACAGGGGTGGTTGGAGCCACATGTAGCCCCTAAGGCTTGAGTGCACCAAGTCACCAAAGGCAGGACGCAGACTGGGCTACATCAGGGCACCTTGTCAACGAGGACAAAAAAAAGGCAGCCTCCCTTAAAAAAGTTATTAACATCAAAGACGTGGCGGGTGAGATGGTGAGGGTGCGTTGACACCAACTTGGCACGGTAGGGGGCGCTAGGGGCATTCATGGCCACCCCTAGGCTCCCGCTCTGTCACAACCATATTGAAAAATTAATATACTTTTGCAAATCAAAATAGTAGTTAGGAATTACTTAGGAGGCTTCGGAGATGGTGCCACTGAATGTACTTTGGATACTTTGCCCTTGATACACAGTTTAACTACAGCAGTCTACATGCAATAAATGGTATTCATCTCACAGGCAGAGGAAAGAAGCTCTTCGCTACGAGAGTTGCCGACTTGTTGAGGAGGGCTTTAAACTAGGCATGTCCAGAGATTGGGGAGAAGGTTCCACTGCTGTGCGTGACTCCTCTAGGCACAACGACACATGGGAGGGCGCTCAAGCAATGAGTGTCCAGATAAGTACTAACATCTTGAGACACAGGTGGCGTAACAGAAAACCTGAGATGACCAGAGGGAACTCGGGTTCTTTTATGGGAATGCCAAAAGCATGGAAACTAAATGGGAGGAACTGGTGCTTCTTCTGGCTGATGAGGCTTTCAGTCTGATTGGGTTGACAGAGACCTGACAAGATGACGCACACGATTGGCCAGTCAATATTGAGGGCTACAGGCTGTACAGGAAGGATCGGGTTGGGAAGAAGGGAGGAGGTGTGGCCATCTATGTGAAAGAGCGGTATCCCTCCCTGCAGGTGATTCCTGACAACAGGGAAGGTCCCTTGAGACTCTCTGGGGCAGGATACAATGGGAACCAGGAGAGGGAGACCTGATGGTGGGTGTCTACTACAGGCCTCCCTCCAAGGAGGAAGAATGTGATCAGGCATTCTCTGGAGAGCTGACTGAGGGAGCTCACACTAGAGACATGATTGTCATGGGTGACTTCCAACTACTCTGACATCTGTTGGGAGGACCACTTGGCCACCTTCTGCATGTCAGCCAATTTTTTAGCAACAATAGACCATCTGTTTCTGATACAGGTTGTGGAAGGGCCTACTAAGGGTAAGGCCGCCCTGGATTTGGTGCTGGCCAAGGGGGAGGACATCATAGGTGACCTGAGAATTGGTGGTGGTCTGGGCGACAGCGATCACAACCTAATATGGTTCACCATCCACCGTAAGATTGGAAAACCAGTCAGCAGAACAGAAGTTCTAGATTTCAGGAAGACCGATTTTTTGCAGGCCCAAGAGGCTAGTAGAAGAGGCCCTCTGCGAACAGCAACTGGAGGATTTGGGAGTCCAAGAATGGTGGTGCTTCCTTAAGGACGCAATTCTCACAGCTCAAAAACAGGCCATTCTCACACAGGTGAAAAGCGGGAAAAGAACCAAGAGACCCGCTTAGCTTAACAAGGGTGTTGGGGACCTCTTGGCAAAGAAAGAAGTAGCAATAAGCGATGGAAGAATGGATAAGCTGCCAGAAAGGAATACCTCTGTATTGCATGGGCCTGCAGATACGAGACAAGGAAAGCTAAGGCAGGCATAGAAATAAAGCTGGCAAAGACAACAAAAAGTCGTTTTACAAATACATAGGAAGCAAGAAAAAATTGAGATCCACTGTGGGACCCCTACTGAATTGGGGGCACGCAGCCCACAGTTGACGCCCGGGAAAAGGTGGAAATCCTAAATAAATATTTCACATCAATATTTGTGAAATCAAACAGGAGCTGTTAGCCTGACCAGAGGCCTAAGGAATATGGGGAAGACAACAGATTACATGAAATCAGTCTTGAACAGATGAGGGATCTCCTACAACACCTGGACACTTTCAAGTCTGTACCCAAGAGTCCTGAAATAACTGGCTGAGCTTATAGCAGCACCACTGGCCAAGCTGTTTGAAGAATCGTGGAACTCGGGAGCGGTCCTGGACAACTGGAAGAGGGCTAATGTGATGCTCATCTTTTAAGAAAGGGAATGGGGATGGACCCAGCAGACTACAGACTAGTCAGCCTGACTTCAGTCCTGGGTAAAATCTTTGAAAAACTTGTTAAAGAGGCCATCAATCATAAGCTGGCAACTGTGAACGGGTGTTGTGAAGCAACCAGCATGGTTTTGTCAAGGGTAAATCATGCCTGACTAATCTAATGTCCTTCTATGACCAAGTAATTGGCCATCCGGATGAGGGACACAAGGTTGACATCATTTACTTAGATTTCAGTAAAGCCTTTGACTCTGTTTCCCATGAGTTTCTTTCAGTCAAACTTGAGGGTACTGGGCAGACTCCCAGAGAGTTATAATTGATGGAATGGCCTCATCCTGGAGGCCTATCTCTAGTGGTATCTGGTGCTTGGACCCGTGCTGTTTAATATATTTATTAACAACTTGGATGAGGGGGTGGAAAACTCAATGATCTGATGATACCAAGCTGTGGGGAAATGCGGGCACACCAGAGGATGGGGCAAAAATTCAGGACTACCTCAACAGACTGGATTCATAGGCAGAACAAAATCAGATGAGGTTTAACAACAAGAAATGCAAAAGTCCTTCACCTGAGCAGGAAGAACCCTCACCATAAATACATGATGGATGGTAGCCCAGTGGCTGGAACAGCATCTGACTAAGATCTGGGGGTCACAATCAACCAGAAGATGAATATGAGATGACAGTGATGAGGTTGCCAGAAGGGTAAATAGAACTCTGGCATGCATCATCTGATGTGTGGCCAACAGATCCAGGGAGGTGCTCCTCCCTCTATTCAGCATTGGTGAGGGAGGCCTCAACTGGAGTCCAGTTTTGGGCACTGCACTTCAAGAAGGATGCGGATAAGCTTGAGAGGGTACAAAGAAGGGCCATGAGTGTGGCCAAGAGCATGGAGGGGTAGGCCCTGTGAGGAGAGACTCCAGGAACTGGGCCTGTTCAGTCTGAGTAAGAGAAGGCTGAGGCAACTTGATAGCTGCCTACAAGTACATTAGGGGTAAGCACCCAGAACTTGGGGAACAGTTCTTCAGGAAGGCACCTCAAGGGAGAACAAGGACCAATGGGCATAAACTCAGAGGTTAAATTCAGGCTAGATGTAAGAAAAAAACTTTCATTCCATCCAGGAAGAGCATATGCCAACTGCTGAAACTTCCTTAGCCTGATGAAGGGTTTTTGAACCCAAAAGCTTGCTTAATAATTGTTTTCCAACTATTTAAGTTGGTCTAATAAAAGATACCAGATCCGCCCAAATAACTTTGTCTGCCTTAAATTGGTTCTTACATTTTTGCTAACATCTCAAATTTTATATTTTTAGGATACTGTGAAGGGAAATGATGTACCTATTCCTAAAGCTGCTAGAAGAGGGAGAAAAAGAAAGGTAATAGTATGCATAATTTATCTTCCTCGTATTGTATGTGTGGTGATGTGTGGGTGTTTTTATTGACTTTTATCGCTTTACTGGAATCAAGTTAATTTGCATAGCAATGTATATGCAAGTCAGTTTGCTTTCTGGAAAACAATACAAGTATTGGTGAATTCCAGAATCTAGAAATGTTGCTTTCATTGAAAGTTTACACAAAAAAATCTTACCTCCAAATTTAAGTGACTGTTATTAGATTAAGGAAATATTTTCAGGATGATTAGTATGCAGGAAATGTGGAGCAGAGGAGGTAAATGATGGCTGACTTTTGTTTTTTATCTGTGCTTTGTTTTCTCACATTTGGTGAGCACCTGTAAGTAGACCAGGTGAGTTGAGTATTTGCTAAGGATTGCAAATGGGAGTCCAAAATACAAGATTCTCAGTTTTTGTTTGTAAATGTTGGCATGTCTCTCCCTTTCCTCTGAAGCTTTTTTCCTTCCATTCTGTTATTTTTATTGATCTGCAGGCAGTTGCTGTTTCTTCAACCCGTCTCCTAAATCAATCAGTCTTGCTTTTAACATTCTGTTGAAAATGTTCTTTTTAAATATTTATTTTGGATTTATCGTTATTCTGTGGAAAAGGCATGTTTGTCATTTGTTTCAGGAAGTAAAAGGATGAAAGTGGTTATCTTCAGTATTGTATATTAGTTAATTGAAATAAATATTATAAAAAATTGTCATTGTTAAAATTTGAAAGAGATGACAACTGACAAGGGAAACCAAATAAATGGATATAAGCAATGATAATTATTTATGAGATTAGCAAGGAGATGCTTCCAAATTGTCACCAGAAGTTCTTTTTTTATGAGCCATAGAGTGACACTGGCTAAATAACACACAATTAAACTGTAAAATTAAACTGGTGAAAAGGTATTAAGTAACTTATAACATCAACTAAATTGAAAATGATGAAAATCAATGTATATAATGATAAAAGCATAACACCTTAAATTTGAAAGCAAATACTAAGAACATTCAGGTAAAGTAGTCATAAAATCTGGAAGGATTAACAGCTCTTTAAAAAAAGATATTCTAAAGCTAAACATAACACTGAAACTTGATGACAGTACAGAAAAAAAGTCTCTTCAGTGCATATGAACACTGAGAGTTTTAAATACTCATTTTAATGTGTGTGGTACACAAACTTATTCTGTTTGGCAAGATACAAAAATCCTATACTACAACTTGGTATCAAGAACTAAATAAAGCAGGGTTGGCAGCCTATAGCCAGCAGGCACAATCTGGCCTGTGGAGCCATTGGATCCAGCCGTGAAGCTGCGGCCTCTTAGCATGCTGCACCACAGCCAAGCAACATCTGGGTCTTAACACCAGCCCACTTTCGACCTCAGCTGCACCATTCTTCCTTCCTTGTGAAAACACTGCTGATCATTGAAATAATGTTGGGGTTTTTTGTTTTGTTTTTTTCCTCTCCAAAGCAACTAGCAGCACAGGTCTGCAGGGAGGACAGCTGAGAAACTGAAAGTATGTCCTGCACACAGGCATACATTAAAACTGCAGGATACTTGCAGACAGGTAAATGTTAAACAGCCATTAGGATGGTAGTGACTGAATCATAAGAGTTATTTCAGCATCTCTGAGTACCTGTGCACTTTTGGTGGCAAGGGTGGTGCATGTTATCCAGTTGCAAGCAAACCAAGGGCGTAAAGGAGTATAACTGTCCCAACTACTCATGGTCCCTGGCTGCACTTTGGACGTATCCACGTTGTCTGACACTATCATTTCCAAGTGTTAGTTTCTATAAATAGTTAAGGCTGGTGTAAAGAGACAATGACACTTTATTTGCTGATGGAATTTTTTTTCTCTTGAAGCCCTGAGGTTTTGTGACAATAAAGGAATCCTGTCTTAAAACACTGTCCTTCTTGTGGGGCTGTTACGCCTGTAAGCAGTAGGCATGCTGAATGCTTTGTCTGAGAGAAAAAAGTGAAAGTAAGTGCCGCATTTAGAATACTTTCATGAATAGCACTCGTATCTTGAGAGGCACAACTTAAGGAATACCTGAGAAAAAGCTTGCCAAGAACTTTTTTCCAACTACTCAGTTGGTCTAATAAAAGATACCACATCTACCCAAAGAACCTTGCCTACCTCAGAAAAATCTATTCACTCAGCCGAAAGATCAGATTTAACCTTGCTTAGAAATACTCCTTCATTCCTTTTACCCCTATAAAGGGGACAAAGGCTCAAATATCACCAAAAGGATAATTTTTTTCCCTTCAAGTAGGACTTCTCCAGAAGTACTCAAGCCTTCTGTCTTTTTGGTACCTAAAGTTGTCTGGACTTCAGGCCGCAAAAAAAAATCCTCAGAACACATAAAGATGAACCCTTTGGAATAAAAGTATGAGCTATATTCAGTGTTCCCTACTACTTGGCTGAGCTTTGAGCTTCCGAAATACTGTCAAGACCAGTCAGTCATGGTAATGACAATTCTGATGAAGTTGGAACCAACAACCCGAAAGCCTCATGTCAGAAGTGTGCAACCTATAGCTTGTATGGAGCCATTGGATGTGACCTGCTGAGCTGGGGGGGGACTCATGGCAGGGGCTTTGCCCACATCATGGCTGTCTGGCAGAAACTTTTCTTTTGCTGTGCCTCAGGCAGGCAGCAGGGAGAGGCAGCAGCAGCTGGCTCTTAGTATTGGCCCACCCCCAGAAAATGTTGCCAACTGCTTGCTGTCCGATGTAATACCAAGGATTAGCTGTATCATATAGTACTAGACGCTTTAAGTTTTACATGACCTGGTACACACCTTCCTATCCTCAGTACTAACTAAATTATAAACTTTGGTGCCAATTTTAGCAGTCTTTGGTACCAGCCTCTTCACATTTAACAGTACTGAGCCTCCTATGACCATTAATGTCAGCCTAATATTGGCTTTGGTGTCAAGGCTTCTGATCATTTAGGCCCAGCTTCCACATGCTCTTGAGCTATCACACCAGAACCTGATTCCTGGTGAATGTGACTGCCCCAGTTCTCTGCAACCAGACTGAGTACTGAGAATGCCATTCAACCCTTTTAAGCACATCTGACACCTCACGCTTGCAAGCATTCCTTGACATAGCCTCAGTCTGTTCCAGCAAGCCTCGCATTCACCGCTCGCTCTCATTCTGGCTCCTGACTCAGCTTTGGCTCTTCCTGATCCTGACTTCAGATCTCCTCTGGAACTTGGCACTAGCTTCTTGACCCCTGGTTTCTGATCTTGGCTCACTTCTCAGGTTGTCTCTCAGGTTCTCCCTCTTGGTTTTTCTGGAACTTTGCCCCTACATTCTCAGCGCCTCTGACCCAAACCTTGACCTGATGCTCCAGTAATCTGTGCCACCCCCACTTTGCTGACCCCGTGGCTATTCCTAGTGGCATGCCTCGGGCCCTGCCTCCTATGTCTTGGCTTGAAGCCCACATCCAGTTTTATTCACTTTTGTGACTCGTATCAGGTACCTAGATTGTCACAGACTACACATGCACTTCTTCAGAGTCTAGAAGGAAAGCTTCTGTTGGATTGTGTCCTGACCTTTTTGCTGTCCAGGTATTTTGGGACATCAACTCTGGTAATTTAATGGATCATAGATTTAATCAGGGGCTTTTTGTTTAGGTTCTTGAGTTTTTTGTTCCCAGAGTGCCTTGGCCCCAGCTGCATTACTGATTCTCACTATGACAGAGCCACATAACAGGCAGCCCTCACACAGCCACTGTGGGGTAGGGGCAGCAACCATCTTGCTGCAGCCCTTCAAGTGGGCAGCCCCATTCCCCCTCCTCGCTGTGCCAGTCTGCTGCAGCACGCTGAAGAGTGCTGGCTCCCTCTGAGGAACGAGCATTTTCTTTTCTGTAAGTCTTCCCCCCAGCCCCCCATGGATTTCGTGGACGTTGCCTGGATTTTGCGGAATCTGCAAATTTGGTAGGTCTTCAATGATAACAATACAAAATGATGTTATTACAAATCCTAAGAAAAAGGAAATAAGTACTTTAAATTGACAAATTTCTAAAATTTAAGCATCTTTATGTACTGAACTGTAGACAAAAAGAATGTCTGTACTTGATTCTAATACAATCACTGCAATGTGTGTCTAGCTCTAACTTTTATGCCTCATAGAATGAAAAGAGAGACACTTAAGTCTTGTTACCTAATTCAAAACCTTGAAGAATTTACAACAAGTCCTTATTGATTTCCTTTTTGTTGGGTGTCTTTTTAAATGATTATGGTACCTGGTTATATTAAGAGTCTGGCTCCCCTGGAAACTAGTAAATATTTTCACACACAGAATATCTCAACAATTGCCATTTGTTTCTTTAGCATCTTCTTAACGGATTTATTTATTTAAGATAACCTTCCATAACATGTATAATTTCATGTTATTGCATTTCATAGTGTGCTAACTTACTGATATACTTTATGATTTTTTGATGATAATGATTCTTTAGATTCTGATTTTTGGAATCTGTAAAGGTTCTAAAAGGTTTTTTTTTTGTTTGGTTGGGGTTTTTTAAGGTGAAAACAGAAGTTGAAACATTGACTCAGTCTTAGTTTCAGGATTTCAGCTGAAGTTTCAAAGTTAAGGGAAGGCCAATGGCCTGTCTTCCTTTCATACAAGGCATTTATTGTTGCAAAAGAAAAGAAATACAGGTTCCAGATTAGTATAATTCTGAGAGCTAATTACAAAAAAGACACTAAATTAAAACCTTTATAGCATAATTGAGTTCAATATTAACCTGTCCAGCAGCTTTTTCTTACCAATATAACACCACCACTATTTACATAATCAACTCTTTCTCCACCCCCCCCATCTTCCTTGTCCCTTGCCTCCTAAAAAGTATTTTTAAGGCATTACTATGTCTTTTTAAAGGGGCAGGTCCACAGTTTGTGGAAACAGAAATGTCTTTATCTAAGGCTGAAAAGCCTGGTGTTCGAAGGGGTAGTAAGATGCTGTTATATATTCTGACCAAAACAGCACCCCAAGAGCCTAAGCGAATGAGAAGTGAAGTTAAGTGGTGGGGAGTCAGAAGAGGATTTTCTTACAAGCTTTACAGATTCCCCCTGCCTCCATCCCTATTTTCATTCACTTGTTTTTGAACCAATAAATAACATTGAATGGATACCAGTACTAACTTATTTTCAGTAGGATTAACGAAAACAACTTTTTTGGTGCTCATTCAAGAGCGTTTCTGGTAGGAAAGGGAACTAGTTTTCACCAGTGGTGGTTCTAAGAGGGATGACTTAAGCAGATGCAAAGCTTCTAGGCTAGGGGTGAACAAAATACAGCCTGTGGGCTGGATCCAGCCCACAGAGGGTCTTTGTCCCTTGGACCCACCTGGCCCAGGTGCCATCTGGCCCGTGGCACATCCTGCCACCCCCAGGTATACAACAGAGCTAGGACAGCTCTGCAGCTGGGCTCTATTTCTAGGCAGTCCAGGTGATGGAAGCTCCTTCCTGCTGCTGTTGCTGGCCCCAGCCCCGTGGAAACTGGCAGGGAACCACACGCACAGCCCTGGCCCCGGCCCTGGCCTTAATCTCTCCTGCACCCACTCTGAATTCACCCTGGCCAGAGTGGATCAGCTCTAGATCAGCTGGGACCCATGAGCACAACCCTGGCCCTGAACTGCCCCACACCTGGTCTGGACCTGCCTGCCCATGATAAGCAGCAGTGTTGGCTAGGCAGAAGCTGCTGCTGGGTGCAGAGGAAAAGCAGTCATCTCCCCTCTTGCTGCTGCCAGGCACTTCTTGTTGCAGCCACCTGGAGTCCATGCCTGGGCAGCCCTGCAGCTCCTCTTCACTGTTGTCACCATCACCAGGACTGCCTCTGGGCTGCTCAGTGGGGTGGCAGTGGCAACAGAGAGGAGCTGCAGGCTCTGGGAGGCTGTAGCAAGAAGGGCCTGGCAGGACAAGTGGGGAGGCAACAGATTTTTCCCTTGTGCATAGCAGCACCTTCTGTCTAGCTGCAGTCGCTGCCACTGCTGCTTATCATGGGTGGGTGGGTCTGGAGCAGGTACAGGGCAGCCTGGGGCCAGGGTCAGGCTTGCATGTGCAGGTCCCAGCTAATCTGGAGCTGGTTCACTCTGGCCAGTGCCAGGGCTGCACTCTCAGCTGCTTTTGGGCGCTGATGGCAGTGGCAGGGAGAAGCTGCAGGGGGGGAGAGTGGGGTGTGCTGACCAGAACTGCCTATGTGGCCCACTTCTCCCAAATAACTGCCCACCCCTGTTCTAGGTGGGCAGTTATTCTAGGCCTGTAGAGAGATCTCAGATTCACTTTTCAGCAAGTGAAAATCTTGCCCCATGTAAGTTCCCCCCCCCCCCCCCCCC